GGTGCGGGCGAAAAAGGCCAGAAAAAGTAGGTTGGTCTGGAATGTGGCCTTCGTCATCTGACATACCCCGTTCTAGCGGGTCAGCCTCTGACAGCCCCAAGTCCATCTGATGGATCGACACCCCGCCCCCTCCATGGAAATCTCCTGATCCTCAAAGTCCACCTCCTCCTGAAGGCCCTGGGCTCGTATGTTAGGAATATTGGGGAATACCTGAGATTGATGTTGTCGAGTATGTGCAAAGGATCGAGTGGACAGGGATCCTGCATCCAAAGCGGCCAAGAAGTGTCTGGTCCGGATGGACTGCTGAACTCCAGCTGCAATGTCCCTTTGAATCACCATCTCCATCCATTGCCTCATTTCGATGGGGATAGTCTCAGGTAATCCCTCCTCCTGTCTTAGGCCGGCAGCTGTAGGGGTGAAGGTTGCCTCTGGAATTGGCTGGGCAGTGCTCAATGGAGATGTGCCTATGGGGGGTTGTCCAGAAACAGCCTGTCTGGGCTGGGTAGATAAGTCCAAAGGCCCCATCAATGGGTTTAGGATCTGATCAGATTGTTGTGTCAAAGCCATCTTGTCTGCCTCCCTGGCTCGTTTCTGCAATTGTCTTTCCAATGCTAGGTGCCATCTATGGGCATCCTTATCTGATGCCTTAGAGGCCTTTTTGGGGCCCACTGGCTTGTCTCGGGACTTACTTGGCTTGGAGCGGAAAGCGTTGTCATGTTCCATTGTTGCTATGATGGATTGTCTTGTCTCTGAATGTAAATTTAATTTTTAATTTCTTTTTTTTAAAAAAAATATTCTGATTATTATTAATATTGTGGTTAATATTTATAGTCTGGGGTGATGCCTTCCCCTACAGTTGAAAATAGAACGCTCCTTCAGGAGAGTAAGACTCTGTGTGTGTGTGTGTGTGTATATATATATATATATATGTGTGTGTGTGTGTGTGTGTGTGTGTGTTTGTGTGCACGCACGCGCCTCTATGCATAGACATATGTCTATATCTATAGGTATAACAGTTTAAATGGTGAACAGTATCCAAGGGTCCCCAGCAAGCGAAACCCCCAAGTGCTCCAAGTGAGAGAAAACTCCAGATCCCTGGTCCCCAGCAAGGGAAACCAGCTATTACAGGCTCTGATGTGACTCCTTGCCTGTCAGAAACAAACATCCCACAATTTAAATGGCACTCGCAGTTTCTGTCTGATTAAATGATCCAAAGGTAAATGCAAAGAAATGCCTGTTTAATGTAACGTTAGCCAGAGGGAGAGCTAAATCCAGGGAGAGCCAAATGGAAAGGTACATCCTTGGTCCCCAGCAAGGGAAACCAGCGAGGAATGGAGGCTGTGGTAATTAGGCGCGAAATTGAAGCAGCCGTTGAAAAGGGTGGGAAGCAGAATCACCGTTGCTAAGCCTGAGCCGTCTAACAAGCCACTGCTGCTGCTCTAACTTGCGGTTTAAATACTTCTGTCAGAAGAAACAGCAAGGCAAGGAAAGCCATGGCTGTGAGCGCTCCATTCCGATCACAGAGAAGACGATCGGAAGATAAGATAAGGCAGTTGCCTGAGGCGGCAGCCTCAAGCTGTCTGCGGAGTGGCAGGCTCCGCTATTTAAAAGGAAAAGCTGTTTTATTGTTAATATTATTATTATTATTTTGAATTAATCGAGGGGAAAGCCTGAAAAAACTAAATTAAATGGGGAAGGGTTTTAAAGAGCAAACCTGAATTAGAGAAAAACTGTTCCAGTCAGGGAGTGTACAACCTCTTACCATGAAGGCTGAGCTAAAACTGTGGGACGCTGAGGAGGTGTCCCGTGGAGGAGGAGGAGCATCCCGGAGTTTTAAGCCCAGCCTTTCCAGAAGAGACTGAAGCACTTCCCACTTCTGGATGCTCTGAACAGCTCATGGGAGAATAATGTATTTTCAGGACATGCAGTTTCCATTGGTAGACTATTTTTATGAGCTGTTGTATGCTGATTCCCGCCCCCCTGCACTTGATGCTTTCCACTGTTGACCATTCTTATTATCCCTTGAGCTAGAAGAATATGGCAGAATTTCTACCAGTTTCATCTGGTTTAAAACAATGGAAACGTCTACCATTCCATTAGTTAAATTGTCAAAAGAAATTCAAAGGCCCACAGTTGAAATGAAGGGAAAAAATGGCAAGTTCACCAGATGAGGTCCCTCCAGGAGTGAGCAGGCAACAAAGAAGTTCAGTGTTAGAGAACAAAATGGACTTGAGGGCACTGGTCAGTCAGCATAGGGGATGGACCATTCCAGTGCACAAAAGTGCCAGTTGGAGTGGAAATGTTTATTTGCAGTGCATTGAAGCACAACAGGAAAACTGAATTGCTTGTGTCAGGAAAACCAACTACTAAATGGGCAAACACTATTACAATAAACCTATTGAGTCAGAAAACACTACTTTTGATATATAGTAGGAAAATGATGGAGGTTGCCTTCTTGGTGGGCTGAGATTTGATGGAGGACAACATTGTGTGTTCAAGCAACACTCACGCTGAGACAGCTTAGGCATCCTTACTAATAATATGTATTTCTGTAAAAGGAACTTTTGTGTTTGGCCAGACTTCAATTATTTTCTGAACTGAATTAAAATCACCCATGTCAGCCTTTATTGGCTCACATTTCAGTATAGCAGGAAAAACAATGTGTCTATGTCATTGCTGGGGAACATGAACAGGTTGATACTATTATAGTCATCTTATTTATCACCTTCACATAGGTATTTGATTGTCATTAGTGAAAAAAAATGATGGATCATAATAGGATTGTACACTATTAAAGTGCAATTTAATTTGAATTTATTCAGATAGACCCATTAGAATTACACCTGAATCTAAGTAAAATTATTCTGAAGTGGTTTGTATCCACTTCAAATGGAGGCCTTCAGATTATTTTCATGGTATGGAAATCTTGGTATGGAAAGTTTGAGGAGGCTAAAATTAACTTACTCATGTCATGAGAAATATGTTTCTTTGCAATACGTTAAATTCCTTTATGTTCCAGGTCAGAGCTATACCCAAACTGATATTAATAAATTGTTTTTCTTTAATGACTTAGCCCTGCAGTTCTGAATTTTACAAATTTGTTGTTTAAATTACATCTGTGACATATGTTATATTTCTACAAATTCCCTTTCAAAAAGAGAGACTTTTAAATCCTCTTGAGAACAATCAAGTTTTGGGCTAAAGATTCCATAGAAAGAAATTTACATCATAAGACCTTTTGTCCTAAAACCAACATTATTGAGAAACAGGGCAGAATATAAATGCAAACATAAATTGTAAGTTTAATAACAGAGTGAATGTGGCAGTGATAAAATGTGCATTTGTGACCAAATGGATAAAGCAACATTGGCCAATGGTTTCCTTTCGATTTCCTGGTTTTTTAAAAAATTCATTTTTTGCTGACATTGCCTTAGCTGATCTTTTGAGATGAGATTAAAATCTAACTGCAAGAAGAATTGCCTATTTTGCTGCTCCGTGTGCTCCCTACCAGCCCTCCAATTTTTCAGTTCTGATTGTCACTTTCCACACATGGCAATAAGAAAGAAGATTCCCATTTCTGTGCTTCCCTCTTTTGCTTCACTGGGGCATTTTTAAAAAAGGGCTTGAATGATCTGGATTTTGAAATTATTATTGCAAAAAATATTCTTTGTACCCAGAAAAAGACAAAACTCCATTTCTTCTTTCTACTGCATTGTCACCAGTAAAATAGAGGTGATGCTTTTGCTTTTGAGAGTTTATGGAAGTTTTGGATGATGTGGAGTCCTCAGACAAATGAAACCTAATTTTTTGTGTCTAATGTCATCTTGAGAAAAATAATTCAATTTCTTCCTGATATCTGAATTTTTTTCTGATTTAATTTTGGAGGAGTTCTTGTTGCTGCTTTTTTAGTACTTGCTTACCACCTGCAATTTCTAGAAATATTTCTATTTATAATGCAATCTGAGAGAAATAATTTCAGAAGTAATCCTTTTTGGGATATCAGTTGTAGTAATTGCAGTAAATTTTCCCCTCCCCCAAGCAACACTGGTCAAATAAACATACGTGAAATTCAGCTTGTTTTCTGGACAGCACTTATGTCCTATTCAATGGGGCTTACTCCTTTGTAAGTTGCTGGATTCTGATTCTCATCATTTCTGGCCATACTAGATAGAGCTGAAAAAAGCTAGAGTTTAACCAGTTTTCCTTCCACGGTTATATATCATTTGCATTATTCAACTGAATACTCAGAGCCTTTCCCTTACTCACATTTCAAAAATAAAGTATCCATTATTTTTTTCTTTCTCTTTTCCCCTAAACCAGAGGCAAAAGTCTGAGGCTTTCTTCACAGATATATCCTCCAGAGAAGCATTAGAACAAAAATATTCCAGATTCTGACTCTATTTGGTGGGGCAATGATGAACTTATCCAGTAGGTGGCTGGCATGCCACAAAAAACAAGCAGGAAATTTCCTACATCTATTAAATATATATATCCATCGAAGGAAGCTTGCAATATTGTGTGAAGTAAAGCAAGCGGTGCTGACGTCCCAGAGACCCTGCCTCTAGCATTTGTGTGTTTAAAAGAGCTGCTCTTTACTTTTGCTGTAAACACAGCCTACAAATGCAGGCTGAAAAGACAAGGAAGGCAGCAACGACCAATTGTCCTTGCAAAATGTGAGATATATATATTTTGTTAGTGAAAGCTGCATAGATCTTGGACCTGGATAGCTTTGCATCGATGGCATCTTTTGCTCTTGACAAACTAGGAAAATATTTATTCACCATCATAGCTAACTGACAAAGAGAAGAGTTTTGGAAATGAAACTAGGTTGATGCTTGCTCATTTGAATGAGCTTATTTATTATAAGTGTCTTTCCTTTTACGATAAGCAATATCACATATGCCCACTTCTGTCAATAGTTACTGAGGAGGGAGGCAAACAACTCAAAACAATTTGCTCATGCTTTTTCCTTTTAAACTGAACATCCATTTCCTAGCCAAATCCCAAGAATGGCTGAGGACTGCATTTTTCTAGATACAGAACTCAGTGACTTTATTCTTTGCAATGTCTCTACTGATCAACATACAAATTTCTCTTTCCCTGGTGAGGACTTGTTTTATTACAGATTCCTATATGCAATTCCAGCTATTTATGGGATCATCATTTTGATTGGGCTTATTGGCAATATCACCCTGATTAAAATCTTTTGTACAGTAAAGTCCATGAGAAATGTCCCTAATTTGTTCATTTCCAGTCTGGCTTTTGGGGACTTGCTTCTTTTGATCACCTGTGTTCCTGTGGATGCCAGCAGATATTTGTCTCCTGAATGGCTTTTTGGTCGGGTTGGATGTAAACTTATTCCTTTTATCCAGCTTACTTCAGTGGGGGTGTCAGTCTTCACCCTCATGGCTCTTTCTGCAGATAGGTAAGTCCCTTTTTTGAACATCTCTTGAGATTCAGTCGTACTGTCTGAAAGCAAACATAGGTTGCTGTTTTAACATGGCTGAAATGTAATCAAGGAAAAGATTATGACTAATTTATAATGAGAAGCCAAGAAAATCATGCTTAGTATCGCTTGAAGCTACATATGAAACATTGTAAAATAGTTAACTTTCCAAGGAGGATGGCTGTGATATCTTTTAACTTCAGTAATCTTTTTTTGTGCTAAACCATTATTATAATGAAATTTGATACAAGTGTATTCAAAGTAAATTTGTTGAAGTCAATGGGATTTACATACCTAAATGTATAGATTTAGAGTTGTGGCTTTAAACTGCTTTTAACATTTGAAGTCAATGCAAATAACTTTTAACACTTGACAGGTTTACAGGTGGAATATGATTTACTCATTTAATTTTTTAATTAAAAATTCAAGAAATATTCTAAGCATGTTTGTAACATTTAAAATGAGGTAAAGCACATGTTCAAAACCCATATTTATTTATTTTTCTGTAAATCTTAGGAGTTTAATGAAACACCTTCATTGTCACAGAAGAAACAGCTTTATTTTGTACTAAATCCTTTTGCTTTGATAATTTAGAATTATGATACAGAACAAGAGAGCTTTGCACAGATTTTTTAATTAATAAATTCCTTAAAATAAGATTAACTGAAGAACAAAATAATCTATATTAACCAATTCACTAGGCATCTAGTTAAAAAAGAAAATGAATAGTCTGTCTAATAATTTTCCCATTTAGTTTTATATATAAATTCATTGCTTAAATAAGATCATTTCTACTAAAACGAATTAGATGCAATCATTAAAAAGTACCTCTACATAATTAAATTTATTTTGCTTTAAAATTATTTTTTAAAACACAAGATGTCTTTTTACCAATACATTAACTGTCTAAAATCTAGAATTCTTTGTCCAAAACAAATATGACAAAGAATTGACATCTGGCATAATTTCAAAGTAAATTACAGGATTATTTCGGGATTGGGTTCGCTTGTTGGGCAGTATGCAAACAACTAATTTAGGGAAGGAAAGTTAAAAGAACAACCATAGGTGTTTTCCCAAAGCTGTGATTTTGTGTCACATTTGTACATCTATCTGTGTCCTTTTACTGAACTTAAAATTTTCATAGCATTGTTGGAAGAAATATCCTTCTGGGTTCAGTCCCAAGTGCGGAGAAAGAAACTGGAAACATGGTGACTGCTTGGAAAGATGGTTTAATGGTGGACAGGATCACATGCCTGGGAGCTCCTGGGTGAAAAGGGCAGAGATGCTGAGAGTCCCTGGGTTTTATGCCCACTGTTGGGATTTGAATTTGAGCTTGTATTCTGATTGGTTGTCCGACTTCCATGGGGCCATGCAAGGGCAACTCTGTAGGCTGCCCTGAATCCCAGGCTTGGTTGAGCCTTGCTGGATGATGATGTAATGAAAGGGCTTTGGGCAATTCCTATTATGGCTCTACCTGGAGGAGGTAGATCTTTTGTTATGTAGAATAGACTGGTCCAGGCCTTAATGGCCCATTAGCAAAGGTTGGGGGACTGAGTTTCTGCCTCTCTGAGTTTCTTCTAACTTCCAACAACATCAAGCAGAACTCATTCAAACAAAGTAAGGACTAGTATTAAAAGTTCTTGTCTACAAGGCTCCTAGGTTCCTCTCACAGTTACTGCAATTGAATGAGGTACAACCTATTCTGTACCTGTGCATTTATTGTTTTTCTTGCCTAAGGATAAAACCTTGCTTTTTTCACCATTGAATTTCATTTTGTTAGATAGGTCCCAGTGTTTTAGTCTGCCAAGAACCTTCTGTATCTTAAGCCTATGTTCTGGGCAGTTGGCTCTTGACACCAATTGACACCAGCTCAGTCATCTGCAAATTTGATGAGTTCCCCTTCTATCCCCTCATCTAAATTGTTTACAAAGATATTGAACATTATTTGGCCTAAGACAGAACTTTAGGTTACTCCACTGCATACTCCCTCCATGTAGATACAGTTCTATTGAGGATTATATGTTGAGTGCAGTTTGTAAGTCAGTAAATACACCTAGTGGTGATGCTGTTTATCCCACATTTTTCTATCTTACCAAGAAGTAGATTGTGGTCTACTTTGTCAAATGTCTTACTGGAGTCCAAGTATACTATGTCCACAGGATTCTGCTGGTTCACCGATGTAATCACTTTGCCAAAGAATGCAGTAAGATTTGTTTGGCATGGTTTGTTGGTTTCTTAGTTTTCTTAGAGCTATGAAGTGGAATCAAATATCTATTTATATATGGAAGTCAGTGATCTGCTGATTAAGCTTCTCCAATATGATGCCCTTCAGAGTAAAACATATTTTACTGGTAGTCCTCAACTTACTTATTACTTATTTATTTAGTGCCTGTTCAAAGTTACAATGGCACTGAAAAAGGGAGTTATGATCGTTTTTCAAAGTTATGACCATTGCAGCATCACCATTGTCACATGATCAAAATGTGGATGCTTGACAACTGGCATGTATTTATGACAGTTGCAGTATCTTGGGGTCATGGGATTGCCTTTTGTGACCTTCTGACAAACACAGTCAATGGGGAAGCCAGGTATATTTAACAATTGTGCGACTATCTTAACAACTGCAGTGATTCACATAACATCTGTGGCAAGTCTAAAAATGGAACACAACTCACTTAACAATTGTCTTGCTTACCATGAGAAATTTTGCCTCAATTGTGGTCATAAGACAAGGATTACCTGTATTTATTTATGTGCTTATTTATTAAACAAATTTATATACTGCCCAGTTCTGGTGACTTCGGGTGGCTTACAAAGCTTCCATTTTCCCTCTCTGTAGGAGAATAATACCCATATACAAAGCACCTATGTCTCCAGTTTGTCCATTGTTTATCTTATTATCATTGTAATGAGCTTCCACTCAGTTATTCAGCTGGAGTCACATTCTCTTGCTCAAGGAATATGCTGGGTTGGACATTATGTGCAAGGCAGCTAGTAGGAAAGATTTAGGACTAGTCTGAACTTTGTGGTTGCCTCAGCTCCAGGATGGGCCACATGCCATTTTCAGAAGGCTTTAATGCAGGGGTCTTCAAACTTGACAGGTTTAAGACTTGTAGACTTCAACTCCCAGAGTTCCTCCTCCAGTCATGTTAGCTCAGGAATTCTGGGAGTTGTAGTCCACAAGTCTTAAACTTGCCAGGTTTGAAGAGCCTTGCTTTAATGGATAATCTCATGTCCTGCATACCTTTAATGTGTTGGAAGGGTGATCTGATCTCCACTGAGTTTCTTTCCCTCTGTCTAAAAAGCAGTGATTAGTTGGCATAACTGGAACAATCCAGTCTATCTGCTGAACTACCTTTTATCTTAAATAAATGCCCCTGTACCAGTTGGCTTGTGTATACTGTAGCGCTCCTGGCCTTCAATGTCTATTTTGTACTGGGCTGTCTGCCACGAAAAGCTGGACTTTGTAGTTCAAGTGAGAAGAACTATAAATACGTTCTGGCTTTTTGTTTATTTTTAACCTGTCTTCAAAAGACATGATCCGGGGTAGTGCTACTTACTTTTCTTGTTTGCATATGAGGAGAAAAGGAGCACATTGAGAGCTAGGTGAATCCAGAAAAAAAGTGGATATCGCAGTAGCCAAAATGATAGAAGGAACTGAAATATGTGAAAGGATTTCTTAAGCCAACTTCATTTCCAGTTGGCCTACACAGAGGAGACACAGAAGCCCTTAGTCTTCTGCACATTCTGACATTCTCTATGAGCTGATTTCAAATATATTTATTAACTGGGAGAGGCATCTTAGTCAAAGGGATTTGTGAAGAGAATTGAGCCTTCTATTTCCAGAAATTCAGCATCACTGAAATTACTAGTTTTAATAGTATGAAAGTGAGTTCTGGTAAAACCGTACCAAAAGTTGATAGTCCAGGATCTCATATTGGAAGGAAAATTCTCTTGAATGTTTTGTACTCTAAATGCTGTACATAAACTGATGCCATTAGAGAATAAGAACTAAGAATACAGTTCAGACAGAGTTTTCAAAAGAAAGTGCTCTATAAAATTAAAAAGAATATACATAATTATAAATGAGAGCGTTGATGAAGTGATGATAGTTGATGATAGTTGAAAATATCAGACATTCTTGTATAAGAGAATAAAATGGATATTATATGCATATAATAATGTTATCTACACTTTGGACAAAAAAAAAGAAACAAAAAACTGGATTTGAATTAACATAATCATATATTTATTTTTAATTGTGGAATTTATTTTTCAAGGATTGCAGAAATAAAATGGGGAAGAGATGTGCCATGAGATGTATTTATTATGACCCTTTTGCATATTCCTCACTGAATATACAGAGAGTTATAGGCTGTGCATTAAACCATATTTTTATGCATAGATCATACTAGAGGGACTCAAACAAATGAAGACAGAATATGCAAACAATCATCACCACTTTGGAATCAAAAATATTGAATTATTTTGCAAGCAAATAAGCAAGCAAGAGAAGTGTAGAGCTGAATTGCAAAAAAATGAAAAATGACACTATTCATATATTAATATGCTTAATAAAAAGTCTAATATAAAAAAGTCAGTACCACCTGGATAGACACGGCGCAGAGAACAATATCCATGTGTCCTTAACATTTTCCTAATTATCAAGGGAAACACGACATTCTTGCATTTTAAAGTCAGCAAGATTTCAAGGTCCCAGCCACAGATAGTAGAAATACTGCTAGGCATTCAGTAAAAGAATCAGAGCATACCATGCTTTATCATACATCCCTCTTGAAATTTGACTGCTGGTGCTCTGATAAGGCACTACAGGTATTATTTAAAGCATTTTAAATATATAGGTAATGGTTGCCTCATTCAGCAACTGTGCAAACTTACAATGGTACTAAAAAAGCAGAGTTATGATAGATTCTTGAACTTTTGACTGTCATAGTGATCACACAATTGTGATTTGGGCA